GTATACTTTATTATATACAAATCAAAATAAAGAAATGATGTTTACCTACTGGGGAAACCCAAAAAAAAAAAAAAAAATTTAATTCAAGGAAAAATATAACAACTTACAAATCAATTATTGAATACTTAAATAAGAGATCAGCAAATAAAATGAAAATACTTTTTTGGTTATAATCAGAGATGCAATCCTTTTCAAAATAACAAAAATAACAAAAAAAAATATAGAAAACAACAAATGGAAAACACATATCAGAGTAATCAAAACCAAAATCAATATATATCTGAAAAAATATGATAAAAGATGTCAAAAATCTATTAATTAAAAACAAACACAAAATATTACAAATAAAATAAAATGAAAATTGATTAAATATCAAAATAAGTAAACTATAACCTTACCAGATGCAATCAAAAATCCTATTTACAAATAGTTAACAAATATATAAAAAAATTTATAAACTAATTATATAACATTCATATATTTTTTAATAGAGCCTAATAAAATCGGTGTCTGAATCGATAATAAAACAGTTAATAGTGTTAATAGTGAGTAGTGGGAAAGGAACTGCTATTCTTGTTTTGTGAGGGGTTCAGAAGCCGACAAATTCCTCCCTTTAAATCCTGCTTCTTGGTCCATCTTTATATAATAAAAAGATACTTATATGCCTATCTACTGGGATTTAATTTTTCGAACTATAAATTTATACTCAGATTGCTTTTAATCATTGTTTTATTCATAATTCTTTGAGAATTTCTTTCAAGATTTCTTCCCAGAATCAAGATATGAATTTGAGAAAACTTGAGTTAAAAATCAACCCAATTATATTATTAACAAGCGATGAATACAGTATATATGTTCAATGAATAAAAACATTCACAGCATCATCCATTTCAAAATTAAGTTCAGATATATCAAACATGTAACATCTAAAATACAGAACCATAAATTTTCTTTAATGGTGAACAAGCGTGAATCAGGATCATGATCTAGCAGTTTAACACACATCGAAATACCTAAGAATTTAATAAAGTCCACTCACATCTAGCTTTATCTCGTATATACTGTATGTTAACTTTGTATGGTAAAAATTTCTATAGGGACAGGGTCATTATATGACATCATAGGAACTTATTGTTTTAAAGTAAGTTTGTTTCTATTGGTTATTGGAAAAAAATCAGTTATTTCTAATTTTTGGTAAGAAATAATGTCCAAAAGCATCAGATTTCCATTAGTGAGTAAAACTGTAAGTGTTGACAGAAGTAAGGAAATTACAAGAAAGAAGGATTATTTGGACTTGGATCAATTGGACCGAAATTGCGCTTACACTCTCGAAGAGTTTGAAATTATAAGTGATCAGCTCAAACATCGTTCTTTGAAAACCAAAGTTGATAAATCTGGCGAAATTGTTTATATTAATCACTTCGAACTTGATAAATCTGGAAAGTTGGTTCCCATACCACCAACACCAATTTTCAAGGAAGTTGCTGTTGTGAAGATTTGTACCCAAATTAACAGTTGGAACGTTCGTGCTGGTCAAAACGGTGTTATGACTAGTTCACAGGAAGGATTTCTAATTGAAACAGGTAAGGCTCGAACACTAGATGTCGCCTTTATGCCAAAAGAAACTTATCGCAATCTAACTGTTGAGCAAGGTATCTCCTTTCGAGGCCTACCATTTAGCCCTACATTTGTTATGGAGGTTGATAATATAGAAATACAAATAGTACGAAATTCAAAAATCTGGATTTCAAATTTAAAGACTCTTATTTTGTGTTAAATATATCTGTTGAGCTCGATTGGCTAATTGATCCTATTAATGATGAGATTTGGGTCTACAAGCAAAACCTCACAAACGGCAATGTCTTTTGTCGTCACAGTGATTGGGGAGACTTGGATGGAGGTGATACTTTGCCAGGTTTTAAGCTGAAAGTATGGAAAGTAAAAGTGGCAATTTTGCAAGTGAATAGTTATTCATCTTTATTGCTTTTATGCCAGAGATTCATTCATATAATTTGTGATTCAATCACAGGAACTGTCAGAGTCAGAGCCTTCGGAATCAGGAGACGAAAATACACATCCCTGCCATTTGTGTTTACAGACTTTCAGCGAACTTTGTTACTTAATCGAGCATTTGGAAGATGATCATGTACGTAAGAAATGGATTAGTAGAGGTTAGGAGAATGGTGAAAAGGTATTTATCAGCAAAATATTAGCAATATAAAAAAAAAAATCAGTCATATAAATAAGAATATAGGTAAAATTTTTAATAATAAATTCGCAAAATTGCATGTTACTTAAGTAATTTTGTTCTAATTCTATATAGTTATAACAAAAATAATATTATGAAAAATAATGCACGTGAATGATAAAAGTTTTGAGTTTATTCAATGAGTCCTAGCTCTCAAAGATGATTTGGAATGACTATATATGGATCCTCATAGTACCAAACATATCTTTGAACAATTCAATATTCTTCAGAATTCTTTTTTGAACTGATCACATATCAATTGCTTCCTAAAGTCTTTTTCATTTTTGTGAAATGTTTTACATATTGCTCATGTTGCTTACCTTGTATCTCTACGGCAAATTCATACTGCGGATAGTAAACATCAAGCTCTAATCCGTAAGGATACTCTAGTGTTTTCAAGAAATCTGATCTGTGAATGCTAGAAAATGGTCCAAGAATTTTTGTTATGATTTTACGGTATAAGCTTTCATGTTTATTTAAGCAATATGGATATCATGATTTAATATGCTTTACACATTAAAACTGGCAAGTCATTTATGACCTTTATTACATCGAAACACAAAGATTTATGTATTCCGTAGAAAGACATATACCTCTTTTTCTATTGTAAGCGATTTCTTTAGTTTCCATAAGATCACAAGGAACATTACCAGCACATTGTGGACACTACCGACTCTTATTCTTTATACTAGCAAGAGGTGCAGTCCATGTCCTTTGGTGCATCTCCAATACATTGGAGTATTTATATTCTGTAGAAAAGCATTCACCACCACGTTTTTGGGCAATACTAATTGCTACACTGACTCAAAAAATTGTATCAATGTATTGATTTTTTCCGTTTGTTTTTTATAATTTTTTATCTAATCCTATAATCATCATCAAACCCGCGAATCAAACCGTACAATATAAATAATTCTTTTTTCTCTATATTAAAACTAAACTCAAAAATGTAACAAGGCTAAATATCCTGTCTATTTCAATCAATATTATTATCAGAAATTACTACCTATGGAGTTTTAAAATTGCAATTTTTGAGATTATGTTTATACTATAAAAAGTTACTAATCAATTTACAAAAAAAAAATTTTTTTTCTTGCACCATATATAAACGTATTATATAAATCAGATTTTTCAACATTATATATCATATCACAATCTTCCATATCTAGGTTTGTTATGGAAAATAATAATTTGAAAATAGGACAATAGGTGGTTCTGCTAACATTTCATTTGAACCTAATATCATGTCTATATATAAATGGTCTTCTTATAAATCACCAACTAGCTGTTGAACTTTAGAATGCACATGGGTTTGCAGGGTGAGAGCGGATTTATATAACTGAGATGCATTCTGGAATAAAGTGGTCACGTAAGTTATCTGTTCTGTGTACATAGAGTGCTATGTTAAAGTAAAGGGGAAACCACATTTGTTGACGATTGTGTTTGTATCTGAGTGATTTTAAATTGGCATTATTCTGTCATCACCATTATTTATAGGTTCCTGATAGTGTATGGACAATGAAGATTATGTCAGCATCGCTTGAACCTGATTGGCTTCCTCTCCACAGCCTTCCTTCCCCAAGGTATTTTTTGAATATCCATCAATCCTAATTATACATTTTTTAAGTAAGAAGGCTTTTCGACTATCCCACTTTCGTTTGCTTTTTTGAGTTGTATTCGAACAAAGTTCTTAACATGTTTATACAATCCATGACACTAACAAAATTACTTTTCTTTGCAAAATTTTGGGTGCTCAAATATATTTTTGCATGTACATTTACCTCGAAAAGAAAATTAAATATTGCATATATCCATCAAATGTATAGTAGTAGCTTGCGAAAGGCAATACAAGGATATATGCAAAAAGAATCTCACAATCTATTTTCATGAAACTTGAAAGTTTAGTAATGTTAATAGCTCCTTTTTGCATATGTTACAAGAATCTGTATTCAGGTATGAATTGAAATCTATGTAAGGTCTATGAAAGGATATAGCTATCGCATAATAAATTTGATTCATATAGGCAACATAAAACTTAGTGACGTAATTATTTCTGAAAAAAGAAGACTATCGATTATAATGGTGTGATGAGGAATTTATATATAAAAAAAACTGGTACTGTACTGTACTTATGTTAGAAATGCTATTAATTTATATAACCTGGATATTCTTTTTCAATTTTGATTTAAATAGAAAAATTTTAATTTCGATACCTTTATCAAAAAAGAATAAGTTATTCTTTTAATATCTGAATATATTCGAATTTTATAAATCGGATCCAAGCCCTAGCATGACTATCATCAGTGCCTTGGACTATAAAAAACATAGTCAAAAGTCCAAAAATTAATATTTATTTCTGGATCCTAAAGATATCAACCTGCAAAAAAAGAATTACTTGTATAATATAAAAAAAATAGAATATTTATATATTTTTAAATTATATTATATCTAGTATTATATGTATTTTGCTGTTTATTCATAGGTTCACATCTAGAATTTTTTAAAAAAAAATCTATAAAATTATAAAAATTTTTTTAAAATTCCAATTAATATTATCTAATTAAATGAGTAATACATTTTTTTAAATCTCAATTAATAATAAACTTTATATAATAAATAAATTTTTACTTAATTAAAATAATGATTAACCAGTTGAGCCCTTAAACCACTTATTTAGACAATTAATTAACCAGTTAAGGATTTTTTAGTTGGTTTCAAACACTAATTCTAATTGTGAGCCTTGCATTAAACTCTTTCCAGCAAAGAGAGATGTATACTATGTCATGGATTATAATATAAATCTTGTAACTGCAAATCTAAACTTATAATAAAAATAGTGCGTAGGGACCGCCTGATCCTTCAAAATAAATAAATAACTTACAATCAAGCTTTAGTTAATTTTATATTATTTTATAAAATTGTTACATAAAAACATATATAATAAAAATTTTTAAATAAATATTTATAAAAATTTATTATATTGAACATTACATTTTTAATATATGCAAGATTAGTTTTGGAAATAATTTAGTAAAATATTGTTAAATTATATGTAAATGGGTAAAGTTAATTGCACGATAAATAAACATCTTTGTAAACCAAGGTATTAATGAAAGTTAATAATATCGGACAGGTTGAGGCTATAAATCGTGATTAAAAAATTAATTTCAAAATTACTTAAATCGGAATTTTCAAAATCTAATTTCTAATTTTCAAATTAACTAAACTTGAATCTAAAAAGTTTAATTAAAGTTGTTAATAAAAATTTAGAAGGTAACGAACGATATACTATCTAAAAGTATATTCACCTGCATTTTCATCCGACAACACTTCAAGTACTTTATCATAATTAGGGACATTGGTTGGTTCTGATAAGTTTGAAAAATTCAAAAGTCTGCTTGTATAAATGGCGTTTGGGTGCGTCTTATAATTAAGTCCTACGAAGTTATTATTTAACAATTTTTTCGAAACTTCACTTTCGTAATCTTTAACTTGTTCCTTGAAATCAGAAGGTTCATCACTGATTATGAATGGAATCAATTTTCTTATTGTCTCAACTATATTATTGGCATCAGGCCGATTCGATGGTCTCGCATCCCAACATTGCATTATTAATCTAACTAAAAGTTTTGGAGTCTTGAATGGAATTTTTGGACGTAAGCCTTGACATATCTGCACAGCAAGATCTTGATCATGTGAAATATTATAGAATGGAGGAAATCCTGTGATAATTTCATATGCTACGATTCCAAATGAATAAATATCTGCTGCCGGCGTGTAAGCATAACCACACAAGACTTCTGGTGCAACGTATGGAAGAACTCCATAAATTTCTTTACGCGTCAAAAATTTTTTTTCATCAAATATTTTACAGAGACCTAGATCCGAGATTTTCAAGTCGAGAATATCGTTATACAAAAGATTTCCAGGATGAAAGTCTCTATGAACTAATTTCTTTTCGTGCATTTCATGTAAGCCCCATGAAATATTACTTAATGAAAATAATTTGAATTTCAAATCCATCTTGTAAAAATTTTGGTCCAAGTAATTCCGGAGACCACCATTTTCTTGAAATACAAATACCATCATATAGCATAATGACTCGGGTTGTTGCGTAATCCCACAACAAGTAACGATATAATTATTGAACCACAGGGTAAAATGTTTCTCAATCTAAAATTCGAAATAAATTATATTAATAATAAAACTATGGTTAAACGATATTTTAATATTATTTACCTCACTTATAAGATTGTCAACTGATTCATGCTTATATAGGCTTTTTAGTGCTACTTTTTTATTAGGACTTCTAACCCATTTCTTATTGAGATCATCCCATTTTTCAATATAACCATCTTTCCATGTCGCAGAATACACGGTGCCGTACCCTCCTTTAGCGAGATATTTGACATCTTGAAATTGTGTATACGGTATCCATTCTATATCTGGTACCAACTCCTTGCTTGAAGCTGAGACTTTTGTATAAATTCGTCAATTTTTCCATTTCCACTCGTCCATTCTTTAAAATCTTGTTGAAGGCGAATTTGATTGCATGACATGCACCATTCATACCCCGAAATTTTTTTAGTACATTCGGGACAAGACATATTCGATTAATTTAAACTTGAATTTGTCTACTACTGTACTGTAAATATTATCGCATAACGTTACACGTATGCAAAGATTATATAAAAGTACGTATTTGTGTCTTTTACTCATACGTTGTACATACTGTACACAAAATATATTTTTTAATAATTAACAGAGTAATTAACGGAGTTTATTTATTTCTATACGGAGCGCTGTAACAAAAATTTGATTCCTTTATTATACTGTAGTTTTATGAAAAAATGCGTATCACGTAGAGTAAATTTTTGGAACAATATCGCGAATATAATTAACGAGATTGTGTAAAATTTCGAAATTTC